GCCACTTGTCCACTGGTCCAGAAGGTCCACGTGTACGTACACCAGAAGGCCCGACAGGGATACCGCATCGTCCTCATCGGACACAGAAACCACGGTCAGCTGCAGCAGCAGCAGCAGCAGCAGCAGCAGCAGCAGCAGCAGCAGCGGCAGCGGAAGCGGTGGAGCAGCGGTAGTGGTAGAGCAGCTGCAGCGGCAGTTGCAAGGCCAGTTTTAGGGACTCAGAGCAGCAGCAGCAGCAGCAGAAGTAGCCCGAGTCCCTTGCTGCAGCAGCAGCAGCAGCGGCAGAAGTAGCCCTAGTGCCCTGCAGCAGCAGCAGCAGCAGCAGCAGCAGTCCCCTGCTGGCATTCTTTCCTGCTTAAAAAGCCGTGCATGTGCCTCCTCTCGCGCTGCTGCTGCTGCTGCTGCTGTGCTGCTGCTGCTGCTGCTGCTGCTGCTGCTGCTGTGCTGCTGCTGCTGCTGCTGCTGCTGCTGCAGTGGAGGTGCAGGGCGTGCTGGGGGAGTGCCCGGAGGGCGCTGCTGCTGCAGTGGTGGAGACAGCAGCAGAAGCAGCAGCTGTGGACTTGGGAGCAGCAGCAGCAGCAGCAAAAGTGTTTTACGCCACGCAAACCACTCTGGGCCTCCGCGAATGCATGCAAATGGAGGAGACGATCCGGAGACGATCCCCGGGATCGGAGACGATCCCCAGCGGCTCCGTCTGCTACGCCACGGCCAACCGCCAGTTTGCTGCTGCTGCTGTTGCTGCTGCAGCAGCAGCGCAGCTGCTGCTCGTCGTCGGCAGCAACTCCAGCTCCAACGCCCGCAGGCTCCTCGAGGCTGCAGCAGCAGCAAACCCCACCGCCAGGTCTAACTCAGCTAGCTAACCAGCTAGCTAACCAGCTAGCTAACCAGCTAGCTAACCAGCTAGCCACAGCTAGCCAAGCAGCTAGCTAAGCGGCTAGCTAGTCAGCTAGCTAGTCAGCTAGCTAAGCAGCTAGCTAATCAGCTAGCTAAGCAGCTAGCTAAGCAGCTAGCTAAGCAGCTAGCTAAGCAGCTAGCTAAGCAGCTAGCTAATCAGCTAGCTAAGCAGCTAGCTAAGCAGCTAGCTAAGCAGCTAGCTAAGCAGCTAGCTAAGCAGCTAGCTAAGCAGCTAGCTAATCAGCTAGCTAAGCAGTTAGCTAATCAGCTAGCTAAGCAGCTAGCTAAGCAGCTAGCTAAGCAGCTAGCTAAGCAGCTAGCTAAGCAGCTAGCTAAGCAGTTAGCTAATCAGCTAGCTAATCAGCTAGCTAAGCAGCTAGCTAAGCAGCTAGCTAAGCAGCTAGCTAAGCAGCTAGCTATAGCTGGCCAAGCAGCTAGCCACAGCTAGTCAGGCAGCTAGCCATAGCTAGCCAAGCAGCTAGCCACAGCTAGCCAGGCAGCTAGCCACAGCTAGCCAGGCAGCTAGCTATAGCTAGCCAAGCAGCTAGCCCTAGATAGCCAAACAGCTGGCTGAGGAATAGCTAGCTAGACAGCTAGCTGGTGGGAAGCTAGCCAGAGAGCTTGTTGGCTAGCTAGCTAGGCGCTAGTTGCTTGGCTAGCCAGCTAGCTAGCTAGCTATATGGCTAGCTAGCTATCTGGCCAGCTAGCTAGCTAGCTAAATGGCTAGCTAGCTAGCTAAATGGCTAGCTGGCCAGTCGCTCACTGACGGAGATAGGGCTTTGTCCAGTTAGGCAGGCAGCTCGCCAGCTCAGGAGATGCATCCCTCCACCGCCGCCGCCGCTGCTGCTGCTGCTGCTGCTGCTGCTGCTGCCGCTGCTGCCGCTGCTGCTGCTGCTGCTGCTGCTGATGCTGCCGCTGCTGCTGCTGCTGCTGCTGCTGCTGCTGCTGCTGCTGCTGCAGGGCGTACCTGGTGAATTCTCCGGAGGACTTGAAGGCGGAGTGGCTGGAAGGAGTGACTCGAGTGGCAGTTTCTGCTTCGGCTTCCACTCCGGAAGAGTTGACGCAAAAAGTGATGTTGCGGCTGCGGGAGTTTGGGGTGTACGTACAGCTGGAGGCTGCGGCGGTGCGGGAGCGGGTGCCCACTTGGAAGCTTCCCAAGTCCGTTTTTCCCCTTTTTGCGATCATTTTATTCCTTTTTTTCTTTTTTATTTCTTTTTTATTTCTTTTTTCTTTTTATTTTCCACTTGGGCTTCTTTTTTTTCCAATTTCGCCCTTTTCCGCGAAAATTCGAAACTCCCCGTTTTCCGGTGCCCCCGGGTGTACGTACACCTCGCGCAGGCATTTTCGCCTTTCGCTTTTTCGCATTTCCACTTTTCATTTGCTGCTGCGCCTCTACAAATAAATAATAAATAAATAAATAAATAAATAAATAAATAAATAAATAATAAATAAATAAATAAATAAATAAATAATAAATAAAAGAACTAACTATTAATGTTTAAAAATGAACTCCATTTTTTTTTGCGTTTTCAGGAATCTGCGAGACGCCGCGAAGGCGCTGGAGATGGCGGAGAAGGAAAAGAAATTAAAAAGCGAAAATAATTAATTTGAAGTTTTTTTTCTTTTTTTTAAATTAATTAAAATTAATTTATTTGTTCTTTTCTCCGGAGTTGGAACACGCAGGCAGCAGCGAGGGCTAGCAGCAGCAGCAGCAGCAGCAGCAGCAGCAGCAGCAGCAGCGGATGCGGCTGCTGCTCGCCGTCTTACGCGCCGGTGTCTTTGCTGCTGCTGCTGCAGCTGCTGCTGCTGCTGCAGCTGCTGCTGCAGCTGCTGCTTCCACAGGTGCTTCAGCAGCTGCTGCAGCGACAGCAGCAGGACCGGAAACAGCGACAGCAGCTGCTGCAGCAGTCGTTATACCAGCTGCTGCTGCAGCTGCTGCAGCAGTCGTTATACCAGCTGCTGCAGCAGCCGTTATACCAGCTGCTGCTGCAGCTGCTGCTGCTGCTGCTGCTGCTGCAGCTGCTGCTGTAGCTGCTGCGATTGCTGCAGCAGCTGCTGCTCTGCTGCTGCAGTTGGGCCCTGGGAAGACTTGGGCAGCTTTTCTGTTCCAGGGACAAAATGAATTTGAGGTTTCATTAATTGCAAATTTGCACTAAGAGCTGTTTGGTGCTGCAAGGGGCATTTCGCTGCTGCTGCTGCTGCTGCTGCTGCTGCTGCTGCTGCTGCTGCTGCTGCAGCAGCAGCAGCAGCAGATCAGAAGACCTCGTTTAGAGGTCTTCTCTATTAAGAAAAGGTCAAAAGATTTTAACTAATAAACTCTTTCGGTTCAGCTGCAGGGGATGCGCGCTGCTGCTGCTGCAGCGAGGTGTCTGTCTGTACACCCGAGCGAGCAGCAGCTGCTGCTGCTGCCTTCGAGGAGTCAAATGGAGTTCTGGGAATTAAAACAAAGTGGAAATAAAAGCAAATAAAAGAAAGAAAGAAAGAAGTGGCGTTTGAGAAGGCGGGAGTTGGTTGCTGCTGCGTCGTGCGGTGTATGTACACTGTGTACGTACACCAGACATGTTGGGGGCGGCGCGGGGTGTACGTACACCCGAGCAACCGCGCGATCGGCGCCTCTTCTGCGGCCAAAAGAGTTTCAAATTTAATTTAATTTGCAAATAAAAGTAAAAACAGAAAAATAAAAAAGAAAAAGCAGACAAAATGGCCGGAGGGGCTGCGTGAATGCGCCGCCACGGATATACACGCCGCCGGCCGCCGCCGGGGCTGTTTCTTCGCCGAATTTTCTTATTTTAAATAATTAATAATTCAATTTTAAATTATAATTCAAATTCCTTTTTTAATTGCAACAAACGCATGCAAGTGCTGCGCTGCTGCTGGGGCTGTGCTGCGAGGTGGGCGCTTGGGGCCCCCTAGTTGGAGCCGCCAGTTTATCTTTTAGGGTTTAGGGTTTAGGGTTTAGGGTTTAGGGTTTGCGGCCTACGGTTTAGGGTTTGCGCGCTGCAGTCTAGTTAGAAGCCGCCAACACGCAGGGCCTGGGGGATGATCGGCTTCTGCCGAGGGCCCCCAGGCTTCCGCCCCGAGGGTTTAGGGTTTAGGGTTTAGGGTTTAGGGTTTAGGGTTTACAACCTGGGGTTATGGAAAGCTGCAATGGCGCAAACGCCGGCCGCCGCGCAGGCAAAGCGCAAGCGGAAGCTCCAGGACGACTTAGAGGAGGCTCGAGAGAAACTGCCCCTGGAGGTAGGGTTTAGGGTTTAGGGTTTAGGGTTTAGGGTTTAGGGTTTAGGGTTTAGGGTTTAGGGTCTAGGGTTTAGGGTTTAGGGTTTAGGGTTTAGGGTTTAGGGTTTAGGGTTTAGGGTTTAGGTTTTAGGCGCGTTCCCTTGCCTGTGACTCCAGGGCTATTGCTATTGGTGTCCGGGGTCTAGCGTTTGGGGCTCCGGGTTTGGGATCTAGGCTTTAGGGTTTAGGGTTTAGGGTTTAGGGTTTAGGGTTTTGCTCTCAGGACGATGAGCTGCTGGCGAGGCTGGTGGTGCAGCAGCGCGGGGCGCTGCAGGAGCAGCGCCGACAGCTGAATTTGCTGCGGCGGCAGCAGCAGCAGCAGCAGCAGCAAGCAGCAGAAGCAGCAGCAGTTGCTGCTGCTGTTGCAGATGCCTGGGCTACTCTCAACGCGAACGTCTTGCTGCTGCTGGGCCAGCAGCAGCAGCAGCAGCAGCAGCAGCAGCACGAGGACGTCTTGCTGCAGAGGAGTTTACAGGCGCTGCTGCAGCGGCCAGGTATAAAAGCACCGCATGCATTTGCTGCTGCTGCTGCTGCTGCTGCTGCTGTTGTTGCTGCTGATGTTAGTGTTGCAGTCCCTGAGACCGCTACTTGAAGACGTCTTCTGTTGCTGTTGCTGCTGCTGCTGCTGCTGCTGTTGCTGCTGCTGCTGCTGCAGTTGGCTCGGCGTGTTGGGGTGTACATGCAGGTTTATGCCTCTTTGACGGCAGCATCCCGCAGCACAGCAGCAGCAGCAGCAAGAGCAGCGGCAGCAGCAGCAGCAGCAATGGGGACGTCAAGAAGAACAGCAGCAGCAGCAGCAGCAACGGAGACGTGAAGAAGAGCAGCAGCAGCAGCAGCAGCAGCAGCAACGCGGAGGAAGTAAGCTCAGATGAAGAGGATGCTCTTTCTGCTTTGCTGCGGCGGTCCCCAGTCTTCAGCAGCAGCAGCAGCAGCAGCAACAGCCTACCCAACGGCACCAGCAGCAGCAGCAGCAGCAGCAGCAGCAGCGGAGCAGCAAATGAGCTGCAGCAGCTCAAGCAGCGGCTGAAGACTTGCGGCGATTGGTCATCAGGGTTAGTGCAGCAGCTGCTGCTGCTGCTGCTGCGGCCGAAAGGGCCTCCTGCTGCAGCAGCAAATGCTTCTTGCAAAGAGGAGTTGCAGCAAGATACAGCAGCAGCAGCAGCTGCTGCTCCTGCTGCTAGTGATGCTGCTGCTGCTGCTGCTGCTGCTGGCCCTGCTGCTGCGAACGAGACAGCTGCTGCTGGCGAGGGCAAGAGAGACAACAGCTGCAAGCCAGAGGCAGCAGCAGCAGCAGCAGCAGAAGCCGCAGCGTCCCCCGCTCCCTCTGCTGCTGCAAAGCCAGAAGCAGCAGCAGCAGCAGCAGCAGCAGCAGCAGCAGCAGCAGCAGCAGCAGCAGGAGTGTGCCCCAAATGCCTCGCGCTGCAGGCCGCTCTGGGGCGCCTGCGGCTGCGCCTGGGGCGGTGGCGGGCGCGGGCTCGTGTTGCAGAGCAGCAGCAGCAGCAAGCAGCAGCAGCAGCAGCAGCAGCAGACTTGGAAGTTTCGCGGCTGAAGAAGCAGCAGGTAATGCTGCGAGCAGCAGCAGCAGCTCCTGCTGCTGCTGCGCTGCTGGCAGCAGCAATCCGAGGCGACGAGGTGTCCGACGAAGCAGAGCCAACAGACGCAGCAGCAAGCCCGCAGCAGCAGCAGCAGCAGCAAGCAGCAGCAGCAGCAGACACTGCAGCAGCAGCAGCAGCAGCAGCAGCGAAGGGATCCCCACCAGCAGCAACTCCTAAGGCCGCAGAAGGCACGAGCAGCGAGCAGCAGCAGCAGCAGCAGCAGCAGCAGCAGCAGCAGGAAGTTTCGAGCGACGACGAGTCTGCTGCTGCTGCTGCAGTGCTGCGAGTGCAGCTGCAGCAAAAGGAGCAGCAGCTGCAGCAGCTGCTGGAGGAGCAGCAGCAGCTCAGAAGAGCAGCAGACGAAGCAGCAGCAATGCCAACTCTCAAGCGAATGCAAATCATGAGGAGCCCCCCTTTCATAGAGCTGCAGCAGCTCTGTTCGCAGAGAGACGCGCAACTCGTAAACCCTTTTTTAGGGTTTAGGGTTTAGGGTTTGGGGTTTAGGGCATGGGGTTTAGGATTTAGGATTTAGGGTCGGCTGAGGGCGCAGAAGGCCCTTTGGGGTTTTGGTTTCGTGCTCTGAAGTTTGGGGAAGGGTTTAGGGTCTAGGGTTTAGGGTTTAGGGTTTAGGGTTTAGGGTTTAGGGTTTAGGGTTTAGGGTTTGTGGGCAGCGGAAACAGAGCGAGGCGCGGCAGCAGCTGTCTGAGAAGGTCTGCAGCCTCTTGGAGGAAATAGAGAATTTGAAAGCAGCAAAAGAAGCAGCAGCACAAGAAGTGAGTTTTAATTAATTTAATTTAATTAATTTAATTTAATTTAATTAATTTAATTTAATTAATTTAATTCAAATTAATTCCATTTTAATTCCTTTTTGCTTCTTTTACTCTTGCTGCTGCTCGCTGCTTAGCCTCGTTTGCTGCTGCTTCTGCGCGGCGCCTTATTGACGGGCTCTTGACTGCAGCAGCAGCAGCAGCAGCAGCAGCAGCAGCAGAGACAGCAGAAGCAGCAGCAGCTGCAGCAGCAGCAAGTAGTTCGAGTGGTTACCTCTGCTGCTGCGAAGGCCGCAGCAGCAGAGGCAGCAGCAGCACCAGCAGCAGCAGCACCAGCAGCAGCACAGAAATGAAGCTGCTGCTGCAGGGGCCTTTATCGCTGCTGCTGCTGCTGCTGCTGCTGCTGCTGCTGCTGCTGCTGCTCCTGCAGGTCGCGTCTCTTAAGGGGCAGCTAGAAGCAGCAAAGGTGCTGCAGCAGCAGTATGAAGCAGCAGCATCGCAGCGGGCGCTGCAGCAAATGCAAACGAAGCTGCAGTTCGACCAGCTCAAGAACGCCAGCAGCCAAGTGCTCTGTAAGCAGCAGCAGCAGCAGCAGCAGCAGCAGCAGCAGCAGCAGCAGCAGCAGCAGCAGCAGCAGCGGCAGCAGCAGCAGAGCAGCAGCAGCGGCGGCGACGGCGAATGCCGTTGCTGCTGGGGCTGCTGCGAAATTAGCAGCAGCACCGCTGCTGCTGCTTAGGCTGCTGCTGCTGCTGCTGCTGCTTAGGCTGCTGCTGCTGCTGCTGCTCAGGCTGCTGCTTCTTAGGCTGCTGCTGCTGTTCCGGCTGCTGCTTTTCCGACTGCTGCTGCTGGTTCTGCTGCTGCTACCCCTTGCGCTGCTGCTGCTGCGGCTGGTGCTTGTGCTGCTGGCGCTTCTGCTGCTTCTGCTGCTGCTGCTGCTGCTGTTGTTGCTGCTGCTGCTGCTGCTGCAT